ATTTTTCGTTTTGTTTGCTCAATTAAAACACGTTAAAGTTTGTCGCATAATATTCCTCCGTAACTGCAAGAAGAAGCCACATGCAAGCCACTAATATCCCTGGAGGTGGACAATGAATTAATGCCACTGCTGGGACCTACCAATTACAATGGGTGACAAGTCCATGACCTAAGCACAACCTGTGGGTTACTTAAAAAAGAGAAGGGGGTTTTGTAGTTAGAAGGTAAATTCGACAAAGAGCAGCTGAGATGGCCACAACATTGCCTTAATGGTTTACCGGAAAAGGCCAATATAGTGGCACGCTATCATTAAACTGATTGCTGATGTCAAATAACATCTAATAAAACATGACATTTGGTTTGGCCATGAGCCTTCATTTAGTGCTTAAGGCGAAGAAAGGCAATGTTGTTACGTACAAGCCAAAATAATATTATCTATGGCGATGTGTGAAAATAACACGTAGCAGTATATTTACAAATCATTTGGTGATGCTTCATTGGCAGTGGTACAGAAGCACAGCTAACAATAAAACTCACATTTGTCAAAAACATTGCCTTAAAAAGAAAAATACATTTGAAAAATATACATAATCGCACATGTGCTATGATGAAAGGGCATTGCTGAAAACATCGCCTTTTATATATTTTTGTTCTTTTCAGGCCACAGTGTTATTGATAAATATAGAGCATTTTTAAACAAAATATCGGTTACCACTAAAGTAACAAAAATATCGACGTGTTTTCAAATTTCTATGGGTAATAGGGCTGCACTCTCCTTTGTTGGTGACCCTGGGTCGGTGCTGGAAACTCCACATACCCATGATGGGGACAAGTCTATCAATAGAATGAACAGTGATGATTTCCTACAAACTGGCACTCACCTTGTTGACCCCATGAGGATAGTTTTGCTAGGTTGACCCCCTGCCTGGGGTTAAAACTTACAACTTTTCAAATGCAAGTCAAAACGTTCCATGGGTTAATATTACACTTGACATATGTTCGCGCCTATAAAAATGTTGGATAAAGCAAAGAAAGTATAAAAGAGAAAACTCACAATGACCGTCATTAGAAAAGGCAGGTTGACAGATGGGCACTCAGTGATAGCGACAGGATGACCTAGGCATGCATTAAGGGCTGGTTATGATGCAAGCTGCATCACTACGTGGGCTAGGGGGATGCAATATCACTGGAAGGATTAACGCACCTCGCCGTAAATAATGAGAAAGTCCCAAAAAAATTCAGGGATTTAATTTTGATAATTAATTCACTTTGCGGCGTGCGCATAATCAGCCTGACCAAGTGCACGTGCACGTGCGTGGTTTACCCGTGTGTGAATGACTGCAAGGGTAATTTTTTTAAGTAACGTCCACACGTGAATGGTATACATTAATTCTAGCTGTACAGTTTGTCAGCACTCATCGCGTAAGCAGCAGATTGAAGTATCCGTCAGTAGGATTCTGATTTGTTTCTCCCAACGATGCAGTGGTGAAGCATCTTCAAAACATGCCAGCTGCTGCAACTGGATTGGCACGTTTGGCTATGTACGGTGCATAAGAAGTTCATCATACATACATCAGCAATGTCTCAAGGTTTTGCTGCTATCATCGTGTAATTGTTAGCACACACTGGACTTACAGTCCAGAGGTCGCCGATTCAATTTGATCTCCCAATTGGGGATTCAAAGCATGGGACACGTTTTCAAATTCTCCCCACCTCCCCGGCCTGTCCATGCAGCAGTATAATTGGGGATACCACAGCTAGTTGATCGGCAGTTGGCATGCGAGGGTGTAAAGTGTAGGTATTCTCACGTTTGTTTGGAAAGTGTGGAACAGTAGGTCAAATTCCCTCTGGAGGGGGCTTTCGAGAGCTTCCCTTTCGTGGACTGGGTACATTATTATGTGCTGGTGCTTTGGGCCAATTTTACAAATATTGCAAATTTACCACACTTCATACATTACAGCAGAGATGCAATGGTACAAGCCTATGTCAAGCTACATGGAGGTAGAGTTACTGGCTCATAAAGAGATGGAGTATATTTGTGCAGGAGTTGGCTAAACGTTGGGTATTGAGATTTATACGAAGAAAGCAGTATAGTAAGTGGGATTCTGATTTATGGTTGGATGCGTCGGTTGTCTCCTGACATATTTGCTTCCTCGAAAATGACCGCATTAATTGAATTAGCTCCGGCCCTCGTATTTATATCCATGTGGTTAATTTTGTCACAAACATCAATCTTCTCAATTTGCATGCAAACAAGACAATGTGCAGCACATGTTTTGAAGTTGGACTGCGGCGTTGGCCTGGTGGCTCACAGGAATCATTTCACGTCAATGCACTGAGCAGGCAATGCTGAGATCTAGGTTTGAATCTTGGTGGCCACTCATGGTTAGGGGCCATCCATTTAGTACGTACGCATTGAGGGGGGGTCAACCCAAATGCGTACGCTTGCGTATGGGGGCTCTACTGACAATGGGGGGGGGGGGGTGAAGCCTCTATAATAATTTGTCTACATTGGCCTTCAAATGAGTTAGATAGTCCAGTGGTGGATTATCTGTTTGCTTAAACACGTTTATATTATTAATCCTTGATCGTTTCTGCGTGGATTAAATATCGGCCGTTCTTTTGGATTCGGGGGGGGGGGGGGGGGATGCATTAAGCGTACGTACGCAGGTGGGGGAGGCGTGTAAAAAGTACGCGTGCATACAGGGAGGTCGGGGGTCAAGTTGACAGATGCTTGCGTACGTACTAAATGGATGGCCCCTTATCACTGGAAGGATAAACTCAGTTGTAATTTAAGTGCATTGATGGTCTCAGCTCAGTCACCAATGACTTCACTAGAAAAAAAACATCAATCAATTTTGTTTTTAACTTAATTCCTTTCATTACAGCTCTAACGATTAAAATGTTTGATTTGATTTACTTCTAACAACAAACACTATTTGCTCAGAATATGAAAAGGCATTCCTACCGTGTGGCTAACGAGAGCAAATTAAGTGGTCCAGAAATAGTTCTGATAGACTTTTCCAAAGCCATTCGCTGAACAAGCGAATATTCCTCTGCGTAGGGCATCACGGTTGTGGACATCATGCTAAAGACACACGGAATAACTCACAACACGGAATAACTCAGAACACGGAATACCTCAGAACACGGAATAACTCAGAACACGGAATAACTCAGAACACGGAATAACTCAGAACACGGAATAACTCAGAACACGGAATAACTCAGAACACGGAATAACTCACAACACGGAATAACTCAGAACCCGGAATAACTCAGAACACGGAATAACTCAGAACACGGAATAACTCAGAACACGGAATAACTCACAACACGGAATAACTCAGAACACGGAATAACTCAGAACACGGAATAACTCACAACACGGAATAACTCACAACACGGAATAACTCAGAACACGGAATAACTCAGAACACGGAATAACTCAGAACACGGAATAACTCAGAACACGGAATAACTCAGAACACGGAATAACTCAGAACACGGAATAACTCAGAACACGGAATAACTCAGAACACGGAATAACTCAGAACACGGAATAACTCAGAACACGGAATAACTCAAAACACGGAATAACTCAGAACACGGAATAACTCACAACACGGAATAACTCACAACACGGAATAACTCAGAACCCGGAATAACTCAGAACACGGAATAACTCAGAACACGGAATAACTCAGAACACGGAATAACTCAGAACACGGAATAACTCAGAACACGGAATAACTCAGAACACGGAATAACTCAGAACACGGAATAACTCAGAACACGGAATAACTCAGAACACGGAATAACTCAGAACACGGAATAACTCAGAACACGGAATAACTCAGAACACGGAATAACTCAGAACACGGAATAACTCAGAACACGGAATAACTCAGAACACGGAATAACTCAGAACACGGAATAACTCACAACACGGAATAACTCAGAACCCGGAATAACTCAGAACACGGAATAACTCAGAACACGGAATAACTCAGAACACGGAATAACTCAGAACACGGAATAACTCAGAACACGGAATAACTCAGAACACGGAATAACTCAGAACACGGAATAACTCAGAACACGGAATAACTCAGAACACGGAATAACTCAGAACACGGAATAACTCAGAACACGGAATAACTCACAACACGGAATAACTCACAACACGGAATAACTCACAACACGGAATAACTCAGAACACGGAATAACTCAGAACACGGAATAACTCAGAACACGGAATAACTCAGAACACGGAATAACTCACAACACGGAATAACTCAGAACACGGAATAACTCACAACACGGAGTAACTCACAACACGGAATAACTCAGAACACGGAATAACTCAGAACACGGAATAACTCAGAACACGGAATAACTCAGAACACGGAATAACTCAGAACACGGAATAACTCACAACACGGAATAACTCACAACACGGAATAACTCACAACATGGAATAACTCAGAACACGGAATAACTCAGAACACGGAATAACTCAGAACACGGAATAACTCAGAACACGGAATAACTCAGAACACGGAATAACTCACAACACGGAATAACTCACAACACGGAATAACTCAGAACACGGAATAACTCAGAACACGGAATAACTCAGAACACGGAATAACTCAGAACACGGAATAACTCACAACACGGAATAACTCAGAACACGGAATAACTCAGAACACGGAATAACTCACAACACGGAATAACTCAGAACACGGAATAACTCACAACACGGAATAACTCACAACACGGAATAACTCACAACACGGAATAACTCACAACACGGAATAACTCAGAACACGGAATAACTCAGAACACGGAATAACTCAGAACACGGAATAACTCACAACACGGAATAACTCAGAACACGGAATAACTCAGAACCCCATTGGAGAGCTGCATAATCTGTCCACATGAGCCAGGTGGTGTGTCGATTGCGGATGCACGCACGGGGCCTCGCGGATTTACCGGATGACGCCGCGGTGCTGTACACGGCGTAGTCGGGTGGGGAGCGGGCCCGCGAGATGGTGTGCGTCGCAGACTCGGGGCTTCGGTACACCTGGTCTTCATATATCGGAGTGATGAGGCGATCGGGCGATGTCACGTAGCGCACCTCTGTCGCCGCTCCCTGCTGGCTTGAATAAGATCCCCTGAGACCTGAACGGGCCATAGGCAAGCGCACACACACACACACACGTCAAAGATGAAGACAACAACCACCCCCCAAACCCTCCCCATATAACTGGAAGGGACTATTGGGCTAAGTGTTGCCGGTACGGCAGAGAAGGGTGTGTGTGTGTGTAGCCAGCACCACGCCCGGCCACCTTTGTCTCCCCAGTGCTGATGTTAACACAGTGCACCGGGTACTCATTTAAGGCCGAGTTGACCTAGGGAAGGCCCAGAATCGATTCACATATTCATTACCGACTTTGGCTGTGAGTGGCAATCGGTCACTTGTAGCACAGGACGCTAACCACCACACTACCTCTCCCCCAATGTACTGCATTGACTGTTTGATTCCTATCATTGCACCATTCAGACATGTAACAATGCATCAGTTCATCGATAAATATTGATTCTTTCAGTCAAGCTGCATATATTGAAGATTAATTGGGATCGATTAAAATGCTATGACGTGAAAAATAATGCAAATCAGAATCTTGATCAAATTCATAATGTTTATTTAAACTGACTAATGGGACAAACAAAACTGTACTGGTGAGTCAGAAAATCATGAGGAACAATACAAATGAAATGAAAAGTTATAGGTTATTGGATTGAGTCATAAACCTAAACTGTGACCATTTATTAAATCATTGCATATGGAGGGAAGGAGTTGAATTGTCACCAAGTCGAGTAAAGATTAAAGGGTAAAGGTGCAGCTCTGCAATTTCTTATTTGCGTCACTGCTGGCAGAAGCGCCCTTCACTAATGGAAACTCCACAGTCACCCCCCTGTAAAATGGTATTTTGACAAACTCATCCATGACGGTCAGAGATCTTGGAAGAGGTGAAAGTACCTGCTACTTTATCCCACCACGCATTTATAATGCTGCAAGTTCAGTATGCTACCCATTGCACCATGGGAGTATCCTACATGTCTAGCTACGAGGCAATATGAAAAACACGTCTTTTTTGGCATAGGCACTATGCTGGTGCTCGTCGCTCACCGGACAGGCTTCCAGGCCTCTGCCGGTCCACCCGCTCGGGGCTCTGCCGGTCCGAGCCTCCCGGTGTCCGCTTCGCTGGCGACGCCTGCGACGATGGAGAGGATGACCTGGCCAGCTGCTGCTGCTGCTGCTGGACCTGCTGCTGGTGGTGGTGATGGTGGTGGTGATGCGTCATGACCGATCCCGACGGCGGCGCGCCACCGCTAGAAGCCACCGAGTTCCCGTAGCCGCCCAGCAGCGGCGGCGACTGCGATGATGACCGGGAGTAAGCTGCGGCAGGGCCCGCGAGCGGGGAGGCGGCGCTCGACGCGGGAGATGCGTGGTTTGGCGAGCCCACCGCCATCGGTGCTGCCGAGCGGGTGTTCCGGTACGACAGCCAGTAGTAGTTTCCCGATCCGGCTGAGGGAGCGGCCGCTCGTTTGCCAACGTACATGTCGGCTCGCTGAGCGGGGCTGGCCCCGCCGGGGCCTGGCGATCCGTACGGCACGTGCACCAGTGTGTGCGCCGAACGGGGCATCCCGCCGTGGCTGTGCCCCGTTCCGTGGTGCGTCCCAATGACGGTGCCGTACGGAGGCTCTCGGTTGGGGGGCAGTGACGCGGAGCGCTTGGGGGCGAAGGTCTCGTAGTCTCGCTCGGCGTTGCCACGCGTCTTCAGGTCGTACATCCGCATAAGCTGAACAAAACAAAACGTTACATTTTTTTTTTTAAATATGCAAAAGTAGTCCTCGCTTTAAACTGAAGGTTTTCTTTTTACAATTACAAAAGTAAAAAGTCCAAAAGTAAAAATAATAATTTACACCGCCTTGTTATTGTTTTAAATGTATGAATTACTCAAATTATCTTACTTGACATTTTCTTTTTAAGAACTTAAACTCCCTGCTAATTATATAAAAACAAATTCCTCACAAAGCTAAAGCCATTACAATAAAATATGACGAATAGAGATGGGGTCTTATTATAGTTATGAAGACCTCTACAGGTAAAGAAGTGCCGACTAGCTAACGGGAACACCTGGGTGACAATTTCAGCTTTCTACATGCGGTGCTTGGCGCAAGGGACATGCACAGCGTAGGAAAGAGAGGTGTATAAAAAATGCTTTGCCTCCGGCTGCCCCTCACAAAATAAATATCACTTTGCTATTATAGACAGAGGCAGTTATGTCCCCATTATCCCTTTCTCCAAACGGAACCCTACAAGAACCACATTAAATTATCTGGTGATTCCACCGCTGGGTCATTGTCACTGGATGACAAACACAAAAGCGAGGGGCCCGCATTGTAGAAATATCACCAGCGGGACAACGAAGCAGAATGGCGTGGTTATCACGCTCGTGTGTACGTGGATGTGACACGTGCCTGTGTGTAAGCGTGCGCGCGATCGCCACGTTGCTGCTGCTGCTGCTGCTGCGTGTACACATTCTGCTGCTGCTGTGGCTGGTGCTGCTGAGCGGACAGGCTGCGCGTCAGCATGGTGCGCGAGCCGCTGTCCTCGGGCGCGGCTGTCGCTTGCGCGCCCGCCCCCGCCTGGAAGCCACCCCCCGCCAGCGTCTGGGAGAGTGACTGGGCCCCCGTGTGGCTGCTCGTCTGGTAGCTGCCCGTCTCCTGGTAGCAGCTGTCCGGAGACGAGTTCAACTTGGATGACACCGCTCCTTCTACCGGAGAGGGAAACAAATTACGGAGAGTTGGTCGTCGTAATGTACGGGCTGCCAGCCCTTGGACATGTTTGCTCGTGCCACTGCTGGTCCAAGGGTCTCCCCACTAGAGGGAGCTCTAGACAGCACTTCTCGTGGGCATCTGGCCTGTTCTTCCATGCTGGCCAGACGTCTAAGAAGAGGTCGGAGTACAAACACTATGGAGATAAGTGTTTGTTTTCTTCATTTAAAAAAATATATATCATTAATGGTATTATTTGTAGTTTAATGTTTACCCAAGAGAGCCTCACTGAATCTATGGACTCTTTTTCCTGCCAAGTGTTTTGCAGTATGGGGCGGTGATTTCTGTGTGCATTCCCATTGAGTACTTTGCAGGTTAACTTTTCAGAATTTGGAGCATGATGCCAGCCGACAATAGCCTACTCTTGCGAATGACATCACGGGATCTATAACGTTCAGTTTTGTTTTTACACACCTGCAGTAATAACCAGAGTGGCCACTAGATTCGAACTGTGAACCTCTGCAACAAGCGGTGAACGTGTTACCATAAGGCCATGTCATAATTATTAGGTATTTTTTATCATTTGTGTTTTTGTGTCCACATTTACACATCCTCGCTGTTCGAGATATCTTGCGCTAAATAGTTTCCCATGTGCCACCAACGTAACTTTCAAGCAGAAACATCTGCCCTTTGTTTGCTAGAATGTAAAGTGGGAATTTGTTCATTGTGATGATGTAAGCACAGAATGTGGGAGAAATTTACACGTCACAACTGAAGATCAACGATTTCCATTTGAAAAATATTTTATATCTGTAGATAATGTGTGGATGAAGGAGATCAAAGATATACGTACACATAAGGTCCGATCATCTACATGCAGGGGAAAATAAAAACATCAGCACTGGGCAAAGACAGCTGAGTGGGAATGTGGCCACGCCGACTCTGTGTTTACTGTATGTTTAACTTCTTTCGCACTGTACGTAATCGGAGGTGCGGGGGAAGGACAACAAACGAACACAAAAAGCAGTTCAAAAGAAATTAGTTTTCAATCTAAATGTATGTACCGTTCCAGCCTTAACAGGCGGCTTTCCAACAATACTTCTTACAACGGTTTGTATGGCCATCAAGGTGATCTTCATCTTTGACTAGCACACATACACAAAAAGCAAAGCTCCCCCGTACAGCCTTACAGACTGTTAGGGACGAGTGCTGAGCAGGGATTGAACTCAGGTCGCCGGGCTTATAGCCAAGTGCACTTTTCACCCACAGACACAATTTGAAAATACAGAATCCCACGGGGGGGGGGGGGGGGGGGAGGTACCACTCACTGTGCAAAGGATCAGGCCCCTCGAAGAGACCCCTCTCCTGCAGGGCACGGAGGCAGGAGTCGACCAGCTCCGAGCCCACGCTTACCCGACCCTCATCCTCGCTCAGCTCCCCAGTCGCTCCGTCTGCATTTATAACACACGAGAAAAGGACCACCCATGTAGCTTTTCCAAATTACTGGGACAGGTGTTGTTAGCGGGCACCTGTAAAAGGCCTACGTGGCACATGAGGGGACAGGATGGACAGAACAATGCTTTCATCTCCTCAGTGTCGATGTATACACACCATGCCCGGTACACGTTAAAAGTCTCAAGATCCAGGACTGGTTCATAACAGTGCTCAAAATAGATTTTAAACATGGCGGGGGAATCAAACTCACGTGTCCAGTATCATGGTGCAGCACGTTAACCCCTCAGCTTCTCACACACACACACCCACGGCCATACAGGCACATACAAGTACACGCATGGACATAGTGACACACACAAAGATCCCCCGTTTAGCCTTAACACACTGTTGGGGCAAGTGCTGTTAGCGAGCACCTATGAAGGCTGGAACGGTACACGAGAGGGTGGGTGGCCAGCACCACGCCCGACCGCTTTTGCCTCCCAAGTGGCGATGTTTACACACCGCACTGGGTACTCGTTTGAGGCCGAGTCGACGTAGGGGAGGAGGCCCAGGACCGGTTCAAATAATAGTCACCGATGTTGGCCGTGAGCAGGAATCGAACTCGGGTCACCAGGTTCGTAGCGCAGCGTGCTAACCGCTACACTACCGCAGACATACACACGCACTGAGTTACACACATACACACATGGGCAAAACTCAAACAACAGGCACCTTGTGCCCAAGCATTAACTGTGGCTCAGGTCAGGCGTTGTTTTATCAGTGGCCTCCATTAAGGCTGAGCTTGACACAGTTTGGGCAGGTGAGACCCAGTACCACACACGGTTGCTAGTGTCTCCCTGGAGTAGTAAGAGTTCCAATAAAGGGTGGGCAGTCAATTGCGCTCAATCAAATTTAATTCAAAGCCTGTTATCTGTCATGACGAGGAATCACACCTCGTATCCGCTGGTATAGTGTTATATGTCCTTTACATTACCGGAGTGACAGCCATTCAGACACCAACTTAAAAAAAACGAATGATTAATTGCATGCAAATGAGTACACTGGACGAACAATGCATCGACGCAAATGACATGCGGCATAACCAGATGCGAATGTGCCGACTCCTCCATTTATTCCTTCCCATGTAATGCATGTTAACACGCGAGTGTCACTGTGTTTAACCTCACTCTTCAATGCTTTTAGTGGGGCACTTAAGAGTGAAACATTGCACCGAGCTTCATTGCATGACATGCGGCTCCATTCAACATAAAATGTACTTTCTGCAAGAATGGGCAACAGAGTATCCGTGCTGCCTCTGACCTGCTAACCAAAACGCAGTAAATAAATAAAACATTAAGCATAAAAACATGAATTCATATGTAACGCTTCAGATGGAATGTTGTTTATGGGATTTTTTTCCCCCACACCAATTATATCTAATTTATGCCCACTGATAGTAAGCCCGAGTAAACCATAATAACAATGCAGTATTTCACTTCAATGCCCGGCAACTACAATTGGGAACAGCCTTGGAAGGACACACTGTGGGGCTTTTCCCAATATCTTTTTAAATGACCATTATACTTAACTGCTAGAGACCATTCTTGGGCACTGCAGATGCTTTGATGTTTTGCTCCATATCTGCCTTTGAAAACTCAACCCTCAGAGCAAAGAAATCCCCCAATAAACATAATATGACCATCATACCCACGGACCACGAGAACCGTTTTAACCCGGGGTGCTGACTTGATACTTCAAACCCAGGTCTCTAACGTGGTGGGCTCAAGGAATCCGGGCCTTATCCTCAGAAAAGTAAACGATAGAGGTGCAACCCTGCAACTGCTGGTGGGAGGGCCTTCACTAGAGGAGGCTTTAGAGCCTCCCCTAAAGGCCTCCTCCAAAGGCCTAACTCTGCCATGCTGGCCAGAGTTTTGGAAGAGGTGGCAGCACCTACACTTTTCCCCACCAAATGACGAGAGTGTACCCATTGATTATGTTGGACGGAGAGAGATGGTGAGGATTTAATAAACCTCTGGATTCTAAGCTCCAGTAATCACTCAAATACATAAAACATATAATGCTGCACATATATACATGGTATATAAATACATATTGTTGGTCTTTTCAAGTGTGCATATTTTCACCCAAGGAAGCAATTTGCTTTATTATGTCCAATTGAAAGGACATTCCCAACTGAGAGAAAAATAGTTGCTTAACACTTAACAATACCTCCAAATGTATTCTGCCCACATATTTAAGTTTGTAAATAACAATACTGCTGAAACATGGGAACTGACTTATCTAAGGTGTCAATTATTTCCAAAGACTACTTGTGGTGATGTCTAAATCATTATGCGCAGCTTGCTCTTGCATTTATTTTATGTCATACATCATCTTTTGTGATATTTTTCACTTCGTGTCAAATTACATTATATTTGGTTGATGTTTTCAGCATTCGTGTTTGGTTTGCTGTTCTCTTTTTCACAAGCGCTTGTGGTAGAATGTGAAAACACTGGCAATAACAAACATTTTTCCTGAATACTGTTCTCGAGATAATGTGTGTTACCTATATAGAGCATAACATCTGTACCGTCACAAGATGCCCATGAAACGGGGCCGAACAGCTAATGGACTATTCGTACGGAAATTGAAACTAAACTGAAAACATTATTTATTAAACCAGGTAAGGCGCAATGGGCCTGTATAAAGCTCTCTTTCAGATGTGACCCGGTCACAAACGATAGCCAAATAAATTTGATTTGGTGCTTTCGTGACTGCAGGAATTACTCTTTGTTTTTTTCGGTAAAGTCACGTATAAATAAGAAATAATAATACAATTACATAATAGTATACATACGACGTTTCGATTTCAACGCAAGCAATCATCATCAGGTATAGAAGAGCTAAATTTAAGAGAGGAAACACAGAGAGATGGAGAAGCACATTAAATTGAAACAAGATTTAGTAAAATTTGGAAACAATATAATGCAGCACAGAGGGTCTGTGTTTCCCCTCTCTCTTAAATTTAGCTGTATATATGTCTGTGTTCTGCACTATATCACTCTTAACCTATAATTTAGCAATCTTTGAAATAACGTAATCAGCCAGACCATGCGTTAATTGTGTTTTGACCGACCCTCTGTGGTGCATTATATTGTTTCCAAATTTTACTAAATCTTGTTCAATTTGATGTGCTTCTCCATCTCTCTGTGTTTCCTCTCTCTCTTAAATTTAGCTGTCTATATATGTGGCTGTGATCTGTACTCTATCACTCTTAACCTAGAATTTAGCAATCTTTGAAATAACGTAATCAGCCAGAACATGCGTTAATTGTGTTTTGACCGACCCTCTGTGCTGCATTATATTGTTTCCAAAGAGCCAAATAGATGATTCTAAACTTGGAAGGAAAAACCGAAAGATCGGAGCAAAATCCAAGTGACCACAGTGAGGACATGCAAACTCCAAAAATATACAGGTGTCAGGGTCGGGATCGAACCCACGACCTCTTGTATACTAGGTGAGGTAGTAATATCTAAAAAAAGAAAACACTGTTAAACAGTCAGATATATCTGGATATATAAATAGTTAAGGGAAGCATACATGCATGGACACTCACCTAAAAAAAAATGTCCCGCTGAAGAAAACTGATTAAAAGGCTTCACCCCATTGATTTCTGGTTTTTACTTTGTCTTTTTTCCCCCTGAGCAAGTTTCACTGAGTGAAGGAAAAACCAAGGTGACTAAGGATACGTGCATACGATTGACTAGAGGTCCCTTTTAGAGAAAGCTACGGTCCATTCATCCACAAACGGAATAGCAGCGACCAAGCAGGCACAGGTCATTTCTGGTGAACGACGACTATGCATAAACATCGAGGGCGTTATGATTTGTCAAAAGCTGTGCCGGTGGCATTTTACGACGTAATTTTACGACGTTGGCATCGTTATAAAACAACTATAATCTATTTCGATTTAAAGCTTTCGTGACTGCAAGGATTCATCTTATTTGGTTCTTTCGGTAAAGTCACGTAGAATGAGAATAAATAATAAAATAACGCAACAGAATATTGCTGCGTTATTTTATTATTTATTCTCATTCTACGTGACTTTACCGAAAGAACCAAAGAACTATAATCTATGTTGCACTGAATGGAAGTAGTTCCGCTTAGCTTATACAGAAGGCAACGGCAAGCCCAAAAGTGTAAATCACATCAATGGGAATCTGACTTGCTATAAATTAATTTTGCTCACCAACCTCCCTAAGTCACATTTTTACCACAATACAATGCCACCATCGCGTATGCCAATATTTATTCACACGAGTTTTCTGGCTGTGGTTCCATGCTCAAGCTAACGTCTTGTGTGTTAGTGCCATGGAGTCTGGTACATCCAAAAAATAACATGACAGGGTTAATAATATTCTTAGTTTTTTCGGTAAAGTCACGTTGAAGAGAAACAACAAAATATTCTGATGATGACCGTTTGAGTTATGGTCAAAACGTCGTGAGAATTTTTTATTGTTTTATATATATTTTGTTATTTTGTTGTTTCTCTTCAACGTGACTTTACCGAAAAAACTAAGAATATGAATTACTGCAGTCACAAAAGCTTTAAATCAAAAGGGTTAATAATATCGGCGTGAAGGTGTGTTATGCATAGTTTCATGTCACGTACAGATACGTGTACAAAACAGTGTGTTTAGGTTGCATCACTATCTACAAAGAAATTTATACCACAGGGTCACTGTGGCCCAAAGCACATGGCACAGTCCCGTACCGGATTCCCTATCACAGCACGTACCCTGCACAAATAAGTGGGCCGACTCTTTTTTAAGAACACCTGTTTTCTTTCTCCTTTCTTCTCATTCTATTTATATCACCAGATATGAAAGGAGTGATGCATTCTGTTCAACCTTCAGCATTCGTGGCAGAACAAACCATGAGCTGGAAGACCGGGGGGTGGGGGGGGGAGGCTGGCATGGGGAGAGGACTGAGTGATGCGCTTCCCAGCCCACGCTGGGTGGTCGGAATTCACGGCAGATTCTTTATTTAGGCTGCAGGAGGAATCCGATGAGATGCGAGGCTCTTTTTCACTGATGTCCAGCATGGGTGCGTCAGAAAGTTACCAATGTAAACATTACAAATGAAGGAGTGAAAATGGTAAGCAATTCACTAAATATAATTTTTTTTAAATATATATAAGTGCGATTTATCAAGATTGGGCAAGGCAGCAAAAACAACAAAACAGTCCCAGACTTCACCAAGACAATACCACACAGTAGGAGTCCCTCAATAAAATTGCACATTAACATTGAACCATAAATACACAGGTAACTATCAAAGTTACAATTCACATTTGCAATGTGACTGAATCCATCCAGCACTAATCTTCTGCTTCAGGATATTTTTTTGACTGATGATGGGGACCCTTGCTTTTACCAATCATATGCCCGCGTCAATATAACACAACCACCCGGCGTCTCTCTTTCATCTAACCCTCTTTCAATTACCAAATAATGAACAGACTGGAAATCCCTCTCTTCACCACATAAAATAAATTGCATTTTTTTTGTCTGTCAGGTTATGATGGCGCTTTCTCGATCAATGTTCTACGGCAACTTTTTTTCAAGCAAAAAACATCTGGCCTGGTTTTTAACCTTCTAAATCTCAGCAGCACAGTCAGGCCTGTTTAAAACAAACTGCTGCTAGGTTAAATGATGTTAGTGGCAAAGGAGCCTGTTTAGTGGGAACAAAATTACGTGAAAACGCGATAAAATATTTACTATTTATCTATTTTATTGTGTTTTTGTTATGCCAAGGATATTTACAAAGCTCATATGGAGCTTGCGTTATTGGTTAAATGTGTTCACGAGCTAATGGGGTTTGTGGAAGCCACTGTTTCACCTGTGTGAATGAAACAATTGGGACTGGACAAGCATCGTGAAAAGCAGCTTACATCTGAGCCCTAAAGTTTCTTCCATTATGAGGCCATAATCCAAGTGTAAGGCTGCATGGAGAGGATTTATTTTCCCTTTCCACAGACACAAAGGTCATTTCAAGTGCTCTTAGATCTAGTGGGACCACAAGAGAGACAAACACTGCTTCTCGTGGGATGAAATGTGGGCACAATACGGGGGGGGGGGGGGGTAACTCCTGCTCTTACGCCATAAAATATGTGATGTCCACACAAGACAGAACTTGTGTTTATTGTCTCATTTAAGAGCAGCACCTGATTTGGCATAATGCCACCTACAGTGCACCTCCTATAAGCATGGGAGATTAACACTTTACATAATTACCATAAAGTGTTTGTGTTACTTTCATTTAAATACAGCCCGATGATACAATGGGAACATTAAAGACATTGCGTATCGGGTAAGTCTGTAATAACAAACAAAGAACTCGTGCAATATTAAAACTAGACATCTAACTCATGCAATGGTCCATCAATCGGACATGAAACTCACAAATCATGCCCGATTGTTGTATGTAACCTGCAGCCACCAGAGGTGCTATTCACCTGGAATATAAAAGAGAACCGATTCCTAAATCAAATGGATGTCCTCGAATCACGACAATGCATCAAATCAATAGGGCTGACGATGGGGGGGAGGGCAGGAGAGGGTATCAGAGGGTGGCTGGATAATTGTTAAACGCCTCGTTAAAACATCGACTACAACTGGGCACTCCACCATCCCTTAAGACACACACACAGGGGGTGTTGTTCAAACAAAATCGTCGCTCTCTCCTCTACAGTCTTTGCTTTCCCTCCTTCCCTGCGGAGGCGACGTGGCCCAGGGGTAGTCCCGTTTGCGCTGCTCATTGCAAAGTTTCACACTTCGAGCACTTTGGCCACAGTCCAAATGCGCAAAATTCATCGCAATGAGAATGGCATGAATACTAATTAGCTAAAATTATTATTTTACCAGTTTTCTCCCTCTGAATGTGAATTAAGCTTTCATACAATGGACATGGCGTTCGGTCAAAAATATAAAGCTGCGGTACCGCTGTGCCCTAAGCACTTGAGTCTGAGAAGCTTCGATCAAATTCGTCACAGCAATGCCACTGAGAAGCTCGCACATTTAGGCCCATTGCTCTCTGGAAGAAATGAACACAAGTTCTAATCTGTGTACACCAATTTTTGTTTAAATAGTTCGGTGGTACGCTGCATGTACAGTATTGTTATGTTAGTTTGGCGATGTTAAGTAATTGGATTCGCAAGTTGGTTAGTCGGGTTCTTTGGCTACGGAGATAACTGGTTATTTCCTCAGTGATTTCTTAAGCAGGTGGAATATTTGTTGAGCTAAGTCCCCAAAAGTATTCAGTCACTGCCCGTATCCATTCAGAGTTGAGGTGGAAGGCTCACTCATGACACCTCTCAACGCACTCCGCAAATCTCGGCGGAATTTAAAAGGATGGCTCACAGGCTCAATATTGTACCGGCAATTGCTTTCCAGGCCAAGAGGTGAAGGATCAAGGTCCCAGATGCTCACAGACACTGTTATTGTGTGGCCGAGATGGCTCTTGAAGTCTCTGATCGGCCCAGATTCCGTTTTCCGGGAGAGAACAGTGACGGCGTTTTGGCTGGGATTGCTTTGTTAAAGGTCGGGGGGTCACCATCACAATGCATATCATAACACGGGTGAAGGGTGGGAATTATTGGGGTTTATACTGAATAATATTACAAGCCGCAGATGCAGAGATGGAAACAAGAGTCGCGCGAGGAGGAAAAACAGAGCAAGTGACAAACGGACAGAAAACGTCAAACAATAAAAAGAACACATCGCAACTTCCAGACACGCAGTGACAACAAAGGGAACAAACACCTTCTCACGTGGACAGACAAATAAATATAACAGGCGAGTCGGCAAGGACAAATCGAGAGCAAGAGGGAAGTTGGATGTTTCATGCCGAGGCAGACAATGGGTAAGAAAGGTACAGTGAGGGAAGGGTTTGAGCAGAGATGGGCAAAGGTATGGCGATAATAAAGGCTAGAGCAAGGAATGTGACAGTCACCCCTAAAGACTAGGGTTTCATAATCACCCCTCGCACCCTACCATGCTACTTGTTTCGTTGACAACCGCCAGATGTGTGCAATGTATAATGACTTAAATTGCACTTTAATGGAGAATAAAGGTGAATGTGGTCGAGGTTGCAGTTCGGTGAATATGGAAAGGGGGTGGCGTGGGACAGTGCGAGTACTAGAATTTTACACTTTGCTGCGGCTAGACTTTGCCCAAATGGACAGAAAAGCGCCATACTGACGTTTAATTACTTCCAGGATATTTAAAAAATATGTACTTTGGAACTCTGTCAATCAACTGCTGGATGAAGGCCTCCTCATGGCTTGTTGATTATAGGGGTATTTGTTGCGCAAATAATTGTTGTCCTTCCCCCGCACCTCGGATTAGCATAATTGTCTACATACAGTGAAAAAGAAGTCCAACATTCATTTATTGCGTTAAGGGTCCAAGACGGATGAAGTTAGATACCACTCGCCACTGATGTTAGCCATGGTTAGGAATCGAACTCGGGTCTCCCGAGTTCATAGCAAAGGGCATGAACCACCACATCACTGCTGCGCCCCACATGGATAAACCTCACGCTAATGTGTGATGGCGCCTGTTCCGTCTGTGCAAACGCGGCGACGTGTCACAACCCAAGCAAAACTTCACATTGCACAGCCCTGGCCGACACATCGGCACCATTCATCCAAAACACATACAGTTGCACCTTCCCGCCAATATAATACCTGACAATTTGAACGCTTCTAAAATTACTGAATTTGCAACGCTGGCGCTGACGCTTGCAAATGAGACTCATCCTGGTCTCGAGCTCTCGCCTGATGAAACAAGTGAACTTCACTTGACTGTGCATTTACAAGGTTTGAAACACCATGAATTCTAAATATCCACCTATGATTGCCTTAGGGGCTTTATACAAAGTGCACGACACAGCCAACTAATAGAAGTGTCACGTGAATCAAAATTTAGCCAAATCTATTAATGATTCAGCAGCACCACCAGTGTTGCTGTTGGACAGCCCTCTCACAACATTTAAACGGCTACAACGTTTCGCTTGAGATTACATCCAGCATCATCAGGTTGAGATCTGAGCTCCTGCTAACAACCTAACGAGGCCGAATGTAATCTCCAGCGAGGTGTCGTTATTCATTTGAACGTTGTGAGATTACACTCCAACAGCAACGCCGGTAGTGTGCTGAAGCAGTAATACAGATGGCGCGTTTGATTCAAGTGACATGTTTACAAATTGGCTGTGTGGGGTGGAGGATGCTTTACGACGCATATTTTTACTTGAGCCGACCAAAAAACCTCCCACCATTTTACGAATCGTAAAATATCGATCGTTAAGACCTACGTATGAAGTAAACAAAACGCACGCTTAGTATTACAAAAACGTAGAAGTGCCCGTCGTGTGCGTGCGTGTGTTGTATAGTAACATAAAGCCCGTGGCGTGCGTGCGCACGAGGCTCTCTTACCCGACGTTCGCCAGTGAAAAGAGTCATCTGTCGAGCTGCGGAACGGGAGAGAGACAGAAATCGCACAACTTGGTCAGCGGAGGAGCAGCAAGCACCATCACGTACACAGCTCGCACGCTCAGACGCACACTCGCATCCTACCCGCACTCCTGGCAGGGCTCGGTATAACTAGTCTCATGTAGAAACGTCTAAAAAAATAAATAGATCCCATTAATGACTTCCTTGTTGTCGGAGCAGCAGAACTGGTTTTCGCTCCTTGCCTGTTTAAGACGAGGGAGAGAAGCAAGAAAAAACCCCAGAAAGACCCACCCCTTAATGACATCTCAGGCTATTTAACCTGTGGGTGTGGGCTGTATGTGGGTGGAAGCTTACGGCTACTCGCTCTGTTCTGTGCGAGTTTCAACTGCAGCGGCACAATACTTTCTTTCAACACAATTATGCTACGCGCAGTCGCTAAACAGCGTCGAAGTAAAGTATTAGACTGATACAATCGTCCAATGACAGCAGAGACGCAACAATCCGGCAGGCGACACCTCAGGATATCATAATCACTCAAGAATCGAAATACATTTACTCAGGGTTTTTTTTTACCAGCTGTTTACAAGGCATATTTAATAAACGGAGGCTTGTGCATGTTTCTGTCGAAGACAAATAATAATTTTTTGGCATTTTTTGTACTGGGTTAAGCTGAATTCAGTAAAAATACCAATTCAGGGTGTTTTGTGTCGTCATTAAAGACGAGAATTGAAAAAAGAACCGTGCACATTTTTTCCCCTCTTCAGTGGCAGATTTAGGTTTAAACTTCAGGTCTGAAGCAATCAAAACCGCATCTCAACCTTAAATTCACAAATGTCCCATCCTACAACACTCTGTACGCCCCTGCACAGCATCAACTCATTCACATGTGCAGTGATGCATCATGATGTTGGATGGACACTGATGCAATGAAGGAAACTGGTCCCCCTGCCCCCCAACCCCGGCCACCCCATCTTATTTCTCCCCCTCTATCGTAGCCCAATGCCCGGGATCCTCAAGCCCGTGGGCCCTGGTGCAGTTACACCGCCTGCACACCCGATGGCTAGGCCACTGCACAAGTGAACCAGCACACGGTAATTGTAAATGCGCACGTACATGAAGACTGTGTGCTTGCCGCTGGGATAGGCATGCAAGAATGGAAATGTTCAGACACGTCTCTCTTTACTCCCTCCACCTCGAAAGATAATGCCCCCCGCCGCCTCACCTTGTTAGCCCTGCTCAGGCAGCCGAGCAAGAGTTGTCCACGAGCACCCATTATTATGGCTGGCCGGGCAACACAAGGTAGCGGACAGAGCCCCAGCAGCAAGCACGCTTGGCTGCCAGCATATACCCAATACAGAAATAGTTTGTCGGCAAAACTACAGAAGGTACTGAATTAGTAAGGCTACTGACAGGTACAGACATTGACTGTCATTGATGATGTAAAGTAAAGCTGGAAGCTGGGCTTCGGGTCTTTGGAAGGCACGCATTACCACCATGCCCATCTATCTCTTTCTCACTGATGCGTTTCAAGACTGAGTTAACTCTTGCTCATGCCAACTTATATTCTTCCAAAACAATTTCCGCAACACTTCCTCTACCACGCTGCAATACCGCCTCCCTCAGCATTCAGGGCATCATATTTTTTGCACGGCAAATACTGCCCAGAGGTCATAATGACCACAACCAGTGATGCCATCAAACCTCACCCATCGCTTCCTTCCATACGACAGATTACAAAGTTGTTGCTACGCCAATAACATGCCTCAGAGGTCTGCGCTCACAGCCAAACGACGTGAACGCACATAAACATAGCCGGAAAACCACTTTTGTTTAAAACTCCCTTGGTTTTGGTTGTAGCATTCTTATTCAAGCGCGATGTAAGTATGCATAATTTACTTAAACCACGACATATTGAGCTTCTGAAGCACCGTTACGAGTCTACACAACCACGTGCATAAAGTAGCAACAGTGAATTGACGTGTTGGGAGCTTGTCGGTCAGAGTTGTGGACACTTATTATCTCTGACATAGGTGGATTTTAATCTTTCTCGAGGAAGAACGGCAGCCGAAGGCCTGATACCCGTACGACCCGCACAGACGAAAGATAAACTGTGCATCTTGTGTGGTTATTATGGCGGTTGCAAGTACACAGGATCGGGTCAATAAATCAATCAAATGCTTTGTTTAAAGCCAAGCGCGAACACATTGAGGTGTGACTGCAGAGTGAACTGCAATTTGCGCAAACAAGGGCAGCGATAATGACGATTGAAAGTTGCTCAAAATTGGTGTTTTGGATTAAAATGTTGAGTTCCCAAAATAGAAATGGCACTAAAAGCAGTGCTTAGGTGATTCATACAACATCATTTTTTCATCCATCTTTTTAAATAACTAATCGATTTAACATCAGTTTTTAAGTGGTGGTGCACCAGGCAAAAAATGACCTCAAAAGAGCAGGAAACCAAATTGTACACCCAGCGTGACGCGGTGATGATGACGATCACGATTACCGTGCCATCAATCCCGTACCACTTTGCCCTCGCGTCCGGTTCCATTAAAATTCAGGCGTTGAGCTCCACGTGCGTGTAAAGTGTTTCATTATTCATGCAAATAACATGCAAATGTCATGCAAATCTTGATAAATCAATGAATGAAAGCAAACATCCATAGATTCATCGATTGACGAATCGATTCGCACCAAATTTATGGAGGTAGAAAGTTCACCGACCGCACACCTGTGGCTTGACCATCCACGATTGACCGCGAAATCCCTGTATGCGTCCCGAAGAAGCACTGTACTATGACTGCACTGCTCGCGATGATGATGCTGCCTTATTATAATACACGCGCCATCTCATTTCCCATACAGGCCATCACGGGGTCCCGATTCAGTGAGGCAGTGTGCTTCAGGTTTACCTTCCCCCCCCCCCCCCTCAAAAGTATTTTATTAACAAAAAGATTCAGGTACACACAAACACGTTATGGATTATAATGCAATGGAAACCTGTCTAAACCGCATGTTTCAATGAACTGTGCAACTCTGGTGCCTTCCTAAGCTCTGATATTCCTGCAGGAAAACAAAATGGAGGGGGGGGGGGAAGTGCCTAAATGTCCCCATAAATGTTTAGAAGAATCAATGCCCACTGGAGGAGAGGTAAGTGAAGGCTTCCCATGTTTAGGGGTAAGGTTCATCCCCTGCCCCTTAGTTTTGCACTGCAGATGCTCCCGAGCAGCATATTTTGACAATTTATTGGCCCATTCCTGCAGTGTTGGTGGAGTAGGTTATAATGTGTGCGTTTTGCCATAAAATTGAAATTTTGGAATAATGTATTTGCCTGCCTGGAAAGGCCTTGCGGTTTCAATCCACACAGGGACGTTTATGGTGAGGGTGAAATGCCTGTTTTGTGAATGTGGTTCAAGTAGCAAGTGATCATTTGAAAAAACGTGTTAATGTCTGGACATTCCCACAAGGCATGTCTGTATGTTTGAGGGGTGTCCGGGGGCATCGTGGGAAGTTGGGAGAGGTTTTGTCGAATTTGGCTATTCTTTGATTAGTTAAGGAATAGCCATGTAGACATTTAAATTGGGTTTCTCTGAGGGGGGCGAGTGAAGATTGTTTTGCATACTACAGTAGCTCAGATTGTCTATTTCGGCACTTCCTACTGGGGCAACATTAAGGGAAGACCAGGTTTTGTTGGGTTTTGGTCGTGGTACAGAGGCGGCTTGTTTTGTTAGCAGAGTGTAGTCGACTGAAAGCTTGTTTTTTTTGTTCGGGGTCCATGAGCCACTCTGTTGCTTGGGGGGCAGTAAGGTAAAGAGATAGTTCCTTTTCCCGCAACGCCGCTCTGAGTTGGGCATACCTAAGAAATTGGGAAGCGGGTCAGTGGTATTCTGTGCATAAGTCATGGAAGGGTCGTATGTTTCCGGTTCAGGTTTACTTTACATATACTTGTATGCTATTATTTAATGTATTTTTCTTTCTACGTGACTTTACCGAAAGAACCAAAGAGTAATACTTGTAATATGTTTGATAGCATCTTCATGTTAGTCGTATTTTACGTAAAAAAATACTTCCCATTTCATGTTTGGGTTACAAAAGGAGGTGGTGTCGTATTACGAACTGTGAACCAAACCATATTTTTCCCCATATAACTTTGAGTTTGCGGATCGCGGATTTGCCAATCGCGGCTATTTAAAGAACGTAACCCCTCCCAAATGGGAAAAATGTGGGCGTATTCCTTATTCGATAGTGGCAGCTTTCATGTACAGTAACACAGCATAATGAAAGCAACGGGGCGGTGCTCATCTCTTGTCGAAAGCACAGAATTTCCACCTTTCCTGGTTTCTCTAGGATCATCCTCTATTGGACGGAGCTGCCCTGCGTAATATAAAAATCTTGCGAGGACATTAAAAGCCCCGGTTTTTGTTGGTTGCATAACGATATGCCGTTCAAGACAGCGCATTTAAAGACGGTTTGCCTCTCATTCCAATATCGTCAGATATTCTTCCCATTGTCTAGTTTTTTTATACCCGAGCCAATTCTGGAATTTCCACATTCCCATGACAGTGACCAGTATATCCACAGGAGTACCATTGCTTATGATTCACAGAGTGGTTCTTACTTTAGAGGCTGGAAGAGTTAAGTAGAGTCCCCAACTGGGATTTGAGCTTTGAGCTCACAACTTTCCAATTCGAAAGGCGCATACTTAAAATAGTGCACCCGAACCCATTTGGATTATGCATAACATATCAATGTTAGAAATAGCATAAAATAAAGGATGTACATTGTTTAATAGCAAGAGAGTAACGTCAGCAATGAGAATTATCAATATATTATGTTAATGATTATCGGTATCGCCGCATTGATGACATGAACATGTGCAGCCATTTAGTCGATCCACTGATGCATGAGAGCGTCTCCAAGCCATGTGGGTCGTTGGAGTTATCTGACCATACTTCACCATGCTGGTCAGTGCCAGTGGGTGATCAGCATAGACACGAGAGCATAGATGTACAGGGCA